CGCCAGAGGTTCGGCCATTTTTAAAACGTGAATGCCACACAAAAGTTTGCGGACTCCCCAAATGTTTGCTTTAGCATTTCATAGGTTTCCTTAGCCGTTTTGGCGAGTCTTTGGCAAAATTTGATGCACACGCCATTCCGAAATCGCAGGAGGGTCGGTGTAATGCACTACCAAAACGCCCGTAACTAAGAAACAAATGCTAATTCGATGATGCCGGCTGGCACACTGATTCACTATGAATGTAGGCCGCACCCCCTAGCGGCAGAAGCTCGTACTACGTCCGGTTCGCCCGCTATTGACACAGTCTTGAAACTTTCCGATCGCACCTCGTACTTCTAACGGACGTGCAGCGCACTTTTTCGCCCCGGTCATCGTACTCGTCTTCTGATGCAGAAAACAACTCTCGGAAAAACATCGTCGATACAAAGGCACTGAACATTTACGATGTGAAGTGAGTCCCGAGTTCTTTCATCTAAAGTTTATCGATTCTCGTCCCTCTCACACTTAGTATCACCAAGATTCCGCCATCTTCTGACCAGAGATCTATTGTAACTTATTTCTTACGCTCGATGTTATCGCCGGGGACATAATGGCTATTCAGAGCAATAATGACGTAAGGGACAAATTCGCAGCAACAAAATAATCTTTTGTTCTCACGGATCTTGGAAATCAATCACGTACCTTGACTGCACCAAACGAAGTTAACCTGATTCGTTCCGGGTTAAGTGATCAGGATCAAAGTTAACGAGCTGACAATGTAATCGTAATAAAACACGATGTATAGAATACGGAAAAGCGACCGGGGATACGAACTCTTGATACATGAGATAGTCTTTCGCGTCATAAAAGTCTCTAATATACAAACCAATAAACTACGAAGGCAATAAAAACAGATATGCGAGCCAAATTTCTACGAAATAATTTCTGAAAACATTTTATTAGAACTCAGTTACCAATAAAAGTTGTATTTAGTTTGTTTCATTTGATCTTCCCCGCAGTAATTCCCACAAAAACACATAAACACAGTCATATTTCACGTGCGTGCGTGTTCAAAATAATATTGTCCCTATACGCTGTACATAAAAATCTTGTTAGTCTACCATGTATCGATAAAAATACAGTCAGTCGGAAACGTGCTCGTAACTGATCTGCGGGTGGTTATGTTTAAAATTAATTTTATTACTGATTAACGCGAATGAGATAAAGAAAGTAACGCGTGAATATTGAAAGCGAGTAACAAAAATTTGTGCGTAATTAATTCGAGAGTTTCTGGTTCCTAGCTTGGACAGAAGCCAGTAACTTCGTAAAGAAATAGCACTTGTGACCTTCTTTCACACAAAACCACACAGCTCTTCTGTACTTATCAATCAGCTTGTTTCTACCTTATAGAGATTTTTCTTTCTTCTTATCTCAAATTCCTTCGCGAACCATTCCTCCTTTTTCGATGAGTTTGAGTTCATCACTTCTCGTCTTTGCAACATCTTCCGTTCCCAGAGACTTTTTCCTTTTGTAAACCACAAAATACGAGAGCAACAACGGCCTAAATGCACTGAATTAACACACTAAACCTCAGCGATTATCTCCTTAATCGGCGTTAACCAGTTGATCTCTGTAATGGTGACGAGTTGTGTTTACTTCGCGGTACGGGCTGGATTCTTAGATGCTACTTAGACGAACTTCGGCTTCGAAGGGTTAATTAATTATCGGATTAAATATCTATTATTTCCTTAAACAGCGTTAACCAGTTGATCTCTGTAATGGTGACGAGTTGTGTTTACTTCGCGGTACGGACTGAATGTGTGAATATTATGTACGTAGCGCGTGTCTCATTATAAACAGCGATCATTTCCTTAAACAGTGTTAACCATTTGATCTTTGTAATGGTGACGAGTTGTGTTTACTTCGCGGTACGGACTGAATGTTTAAATATTATGTACGCAGCGCGTGTCTCATTATAAACAGCGATCATTTCCTTAAACAGTGTTAACCATTTGATCTTTGTAATGGTGACGAGTTGTGTTTACTTCGCGGTACGGACTGAATGT